AAGAACTGTGAAGTGGTATATAAGTCTGTGCTATTTCTATTGCTATATTGGCTACCTTTCTCGTGTCAACAAATGACCTTACTTCAGTGGTGGGATGCTGTTGGTGTAACAACCAGTTTGCTAATTGTACGCTAGTTTCATGCCTAAGGCAGGATTATAACCAGGTCTCTTGGTTTCTAGTACAGTGCCTTTAACTACTATACCAAAACAAACCAGAACTCATTAGATATCATTTTATGACAATTCTACAATCATATTTTAGTGCTCTCTTAAAATATTAATGGATCTATGAAGTTTGGGCTGAAAATTTTTCAGTAATATTCATAGCTTTTTAAAAACTTTTTTAAAGAACTAATGCAAAACATAAAATATTTTAAAGAAGTACAAAGCTATCCCAAAGGTGCTTTTTCATGAGGCAACTGGACTTACTTGTTTTTCTTTGAAGAGGTTTCACTTCTCATCCAAGAAGCTTCTTCAGCTCTGTATAACTCTAGTTCCCATGTATAGTGTAAAAGTAAGGACTGCTACAATGTACTTCCCAAAAGTGAAGCATAGCATGTAATAATTGAGTGTATGTGAATGTTTCAGTAAATATTCATCTTGAGTCATAAAAGAACAAAGGTAGCTACCCTTCATTAAAATATTTGCAAACATGCCAAAATGCTGAGTGAGAATTAAGAGGAAGCCACAATGATTTTCAGAATAACACATTTACTGCACATAGTAATTATGCATGTATTAATATATATTGACATGGTATTTTTATATGGATACATTTATGTAAAATAAATGTTATTTATTAGGCTTATATTGTGGATTTCTCTTGCTGTTTTTAACCAAAACAACATTTAAAAGTATATTTTATGACTAAATAATACAATATTTGAGTATGGCTCTTTAGAATATGGAACAGAATAGAATAGAAAATATGAAACAGAACAGAACAGGAACAGAACAGGAAAAGAAAGAGACTGTTCAGTTTCTTTTAGAAGGCATTTGATGGGAACACAGTAGAAGGAACTTGATGCTTAGTTTGAGACTTTGGACTCAAATTTCTGACAAACTGGCTAGCCCTCTTTCCATTATCTTTTTGGCAAAATGTATTACTTATTCTGGCAGCATTTGGGTGTATAAATACATTTGCTATTGAGTCACCTTGATGATGACCATTTTATTAAAATGTTTATTAAATTATTGTGTCTGAGCAAAACATTTTAAAAGATAGGTGGCAATTAGATGTGAAATATAAAAATACTAAGTATTTATATCCTGATTTTTTATTTAGAAGAGAGTGGCTTAAATTTTAAAACAGGATCAGCAATCACAAATTATCTCTTGGTCTAAAATATATACTATAATGTAACTTCCTATCAAGTTTTAAGATTTGCTTAATAGTCTAACTAGTATTTGGAGACAACTTGTGCGCAATTAAATTTAGAAAAATGTCATTTCTAATTATTCAGTCTTTGTAATTAATTTCTTTTCCCTCCTTTCCTTCTTTATCTTTTTGCCATTCTTTCTGTGATTTATTTTATCCTAAGTTAATCAAACAATTGTATTTATGGTAACCTTTTCCTCAATGCCTTCCTCTTCCCATTGATGGCTCTTTTTAGAAATTTAAACAATGGGCCTGACCAGTCTTCAACTTTTGGCAGCCAGAGACCAAGTCTGAAATGTTAAGTACTGTAACAAAAAGGCTAAAATGATTGCCGAGGGGTATGTAAGTAGTTAGTTATAAAACTGTTATTTTGCAGGCAATAAGGAAACTATAATTGAGAAGCTCCATAAAGAAAAGTGGGTTTGTAGCTCCAGAACAGTGAGCTGTTCCTTTGACCTTACCAACATCACACAACAGCAGAGAGTACAGGTAGAGTCCTCAACTTATGACCACAATTCAGATCAGAATTTCCATTGATAAGCAAAGCAGTTGTTAGGTGAATTGTGCCTTATTTTCAGACCTTTCTGCCATGATGGTTAATGACTGCAGTTGCTAAGTGAATCAAGTGGTCATAAAGTGAATGCAGCTTCCCCTATCGACTCTGCTTGTTGGAAGCCAGCCAGAAAGATCACAAATGGCAATCATATCACCCTGGGATGCTGCAACCAACATAAATATAACATAAACTCTCTTCATACTCTACATAAATGACCTCTGTGATCATATTAAGAGCAACTGCTTTCTCTTTGCTGATGATGTAAAGCTGTTCAATACCACAGACAAGACTGCTACCCTTCAAAAAAAATCTTGACTATGTATCAGAATGGTCAAACAAATGGCAACTTCAAATCTCAACAAATAAATGCTCTGTCTAACATATTGGCAAAAAAAATCAAAAAATAAAATACAAGCTGAATAGTCAAGACCTTGTTGATAATCCAATCTCTGAAACGGACCTTGGAATACTCATCTCTAATGATCTAAGTGCTAGAGCCCACTGTAACTACATAGCCAAAAAGGCATTAAGAGTTGTTAACCTAATCCTACGTAGCTTTTTCTCTGGTAATATCACACTATTAACGAGAGCATACAAAACATTTGCTAGACCAATACTCAAATACAGTTCATCAGTCTGGAACCCACATTATGTATCTGATTTTAGCACAGTTGAGAAAGTCCAGAAATATTTCACAAGAAGAGTTCTCCACTCCTCTACTCGTTGTAGAATACCTTATGCCACCAGACTTGAAATTCTAGACCTAGAAAACCCTGAATTACGCCGTCTTCAGTCTGATCTAAGTATGGTATATAAAATCATACATTGCAATGTCCTACCAGTCAATGAATACTTCAGCTTCAACCATAACAACACAAGAGCACACAATAGATACAGACTCAAGGTTAACCGCACCAAACTTGATTGCAGGAAATACGACTTCAGCAACTGAGTGGTCAATGTCTGGAATACTCCACCTGACTCGGTGGTTTCTTCCCCAAACCCCAAAAACTTTACCTTAGATGGTCTAATATTGACCTCACCCCTTTCCTAAGAGGTCTGTAGGGAGCGTACATAAGTGCACCAATGTGCCTACCGTCCCTGTCCTATTTCTTTTATTTTTCTTATATGTACCCATTTCATGTGTTCATAACTATGTATATACTTATACCTATTATCTTGTAAGCGATTGACAAATCAAATAAATAAATAAATGCTGGTTGAGAAGCATACACATTGTTTGTGTTACTGTGGGTATGTTGAAAGTTGTTAAGTGTGCGGTCCAGTTGGAAATTACTTGTTTTTTCAGTGCCATTTTAACAATTGCTAAACAAATAAGGTAAGCGGAGGACTTATATATCTGTTTGTAGTCTTGGTCTAATTATTTCCTTTTATCAGTTTGCCATCCTTGCCATTCTACTGTATTTACTTCATTCTGCCCTATCTCAGGTCACTTCAGGGCTCACTGCCAGCCCTAATCTCCCCACCTGGTCACTCTGCTTTCCCTTTTACAGTCACTCACTGATATCCTCAAGCTGCAGTGCTGCCTCTCCCACCCTTTCTTCCTTCTTTTTTTTAAAGTCAACAACTGAGAGAGACCCAAAACAAGGGATGATTATCCAGATGTTTCTTAACATGCCTACCTGATCTGAATAGAAAATGTGAATATGTTATCATTCGGCTGCTTGGAATCAAGTCAGTTTCAGATATGTACTTTGCCAACAGTCAACACTTACTTTTTTTCTTTTGGCAGAAATTGAAATCTCTAACCCAAAGACTTAAATTACAGCATAACAAGAATGGCAGCTGCTCTAAACGTGACCTACAAAGGGCACCAAAACCTTTGGTAAAAGAGGGTTGCACCGACTACTGTAATCAGATTTTTTGCCTTTGGGTATCTGATTGGATTCTTGTGGCCTTTATAAACCAAGTATATCAATGGCTGGAGGCTAGCATTTGCTTTAAAGCACACCTGCCTGCCAGAGGGGGGAAAAAAAGCAAAAGAGACAAAAACGTAAATCCGTAATATGCTTCAATATAAGGAGGAATGTTGCTAGATCCAGTGTTGCTTATTTCATTTCCAAACACGGGCTAAGTGAATGAGCCAGCACATTCGTTTCTGCTATAGCAGGACTATATTATAGGAGAGGACAATATTAACTATACAGGAAACTGGTCGGGTTCATAAATAATAGGGCATAATGTGCTTTGCTTAGTTTTGGCTCGACTGGCAAATTAATCTTTGTGGTTTATTCAACAAAACATGTTTAAACAATGCATCGTGCAACCTGTAGACTCAGTGGGGTAAGCTACTGAAGAATTAACCTTTTTTAAAAAAAAAAATCGAGATCTCTCACATCTTAAAGAAAATCCTCAATTAGCAAGAATAATGGAAAATTACTTTTCTTTGCCGTTGAAATCACAGGTTTTACAGTCAGGGATAGGAAGACTGTCTCTTGAGACAGGACAGCTGGGATTTCCGCCATTAGTTAGAACCTCCCCCCAATTTTTCAGAAATTAAACCTCGACGTGTAATAACCACAGATACTTCCAAGAGGGAACTCCTTCTGAATACTCCCTCTAAACAAAATAAAATAAAAAAGGGCGGATGACACGAAACGAAATCACCACGGGGAAGCGAACAATACTAAGAGTCGGGCCAAAGAGGACTGGCGAAGGCGAAGCGGTTTTGCAAACGATTCCTGGCCGCCCAGATGTAAATAAACGGTTTTTGCCCGGAAAGCCCATTCTCACGAGTTTAAAAGGCTCATGTAATAATACGCCTTTCTCTCCCCCCCCCCACCCCCCCTCAACGGGGCGCGCTTCAACGACTCCTCGGGCCGCTCTCGCTCTTTCAAAAGTGTGAGGCGGGAGTCAGTTGCAGGAAAAACCGAGCCAAGGGGCGGGGACACAAGTCGCAACCGCAAAGCTAGTGGCGGGCGGAGGGGGGGGGGGAAGAAGACTATTATTCCTGTGATTCTCGCGCTGTGGGGATAGTGAGTGTGGGTTTGAGTGGGTGTTTTGTGTGTGGGCGTGCGCGCGCGCTGATGCCGGGCGAGAGCTGCCTTTGGGGTTATAGAGCCGCCGCCTCTCGCCGAACTACCCGCGCCGGACGCAAAAAAGTTCTCCGTGGGGAGGAAAGTGGACCCACGTCACGCCCCGGGTCTCTTCTCCCGCCCCCCCACCTCTCCCCCAGCTGCCAGGTGCCTGCGCGATCAGCCCGGAGGAGCCCTGCCGCCTTTAGCCCGCAGCTCGGAGGATCTCATGCAGGGGGGAGAGGAAGAGCCCGAAAGCACCAGGTGAGGCTTCCGTGCAGGGAGGGGTCGCTGGGGAAGACCTGGAGGGGAGGTGGGGGGGGGGAGGAAAGAGAGAAGGGGGGGAGTGTTAGTTGAGGTCAGGGCGGGGACTCAGCTCCCGCCTGTCAAAGGAGATTCTCGCCTCAGGGCATGGGAGATCCTGGCGATCGAAATGCAACCGTTGGAAAAACCCGAATCGGTTTGTGTCCCTACGGAGGCGGAGTTGCGCTCTCAGAATCCCCCCCCCACGTCATACGTCGAGTTTGGAAAGTTTGAAAAATTCCCCTGAGTTCAGACCAGGGTGTTTTTTTGGGAGGAGAAGGAAGAGAAGGGTGCGAGTTGATGGTGGTGTGTTCCCCCGCGCCCGCCCCTGCATTTGTTGTGCCGCAGAAACCTTCTGTTATGCTTCTTCCTATTCAGCACAGTCTGTGTCTCGGAGAGAGAGGCTCACATGCTCCTGAGCTCAATCCTTAACCGGCCTCGAAATGGATAATCCCGGCCGTTTTCTAGTTGCAGAAGGGAGCCGCTTACTTACTGCAGTTAAAAAGAAAAATCCCTTGGACGATGAAGTAGCAAGTGCTAGGAAACTTATCTTTGTAAAACGATTAAAACCAAAAGTATTTACATGTAGCCGATAAAAGTTACCGCTGCCTAGGGAGGCTCTCTGAGAAAATTTCAAGGCGCACAGATACTCTTACCGGCTTATCTTGTTTATTCTTGCAGCCTTTCTTTGGAAGAGAACAAAAAAGGTACAGGAAAAATAAACGCCTTGCTTAATCTTTACACATCATCCTTTTGTATAGCCCAGTGCAATACATTTATCCCGGAGGCTGGAACATCCATCTGTTCCTATTAGATCCATGTTCTACAGATGCTCCTTATGTTCTCCAGGGGTTGATGAACTACAGTTGCCAGCATCCTTCACCACTGGCTGTGTTGGGAGTTTAAGCAGGTTCCAGAGAACCACAGATCCCTCCTTTAACAAGATACCTCATCACCACAATTGCTTTATATATCTTTTAAATTAGAATAATGCTAGTTATCTTGATAACTATAACATGCTGAAAATGGCAGTAGAATAGAATTTATATGAACACAATCTTGTGAATTGGGTGGCCAGAGTCAAAAACTCTTGGAATTTTGTTCTGTCTCACATCTACCCAGATATCTAGTTATAAGAAGGATAAACATGCAGCACCACAACTGCAGGCCCTGGAGTCCCCTTCAATTGTACCATTGCAAACTGTCATCTTGATGCAATGCTAAAATGATCTCCCATCCTTTTGGAATGAAAAATAGGCTTAATAAGAATAGAACTAGATTCCCAACCAGCGATCAAACTAATACTTTCCAAGAAGTCTACAGTTACTAACCCCAAAGAATTCAAATTCCACACAGACTGTAAATATTGCAAAACAGTCTTCATTTCTATGCTGTCGAATTGAGGAAGCCTTGCTGAAACTTCTGCCAAAAATGTGAACTTTATTTTGGTACTGATCTCTGTAAGCCAGGAGAACTTCATCTAAATGTATGTAGGCTTAATTCAGCCTTAAAAAGAGTAAATTCCAACTCAGAAAAATCCTGTCTGTTCCAATGTGTGTGATGCAGCTCCATTCATCTTGTATAACAATTGCACTCTCTAGCTATCAGCCTCCTTCAACATTAAATGTGGACTCTAACCAACAAATCTTGTCCACATCTGATCTATAATAATATTTCCAAAGAACTGAAAGTAGCATTCAGAACTTTTCAATACAAAGATATTTGCAATTAAACATTAATAAAAATGCCAAGAATTTATGCCCCATTCTGGAAGAATCCAAGTTTGTGATTGTTCTGTAGAGCACTTAGTATAATAACGTAATAAAATAGCCATTGGTTATGTGACAACTTGTGCACCACAATCCACTGATTAGTTGTAATAAATCTCAATCATAATTTGTTTTTTTACCAAAATATATACTATTTGGGCAGTGCAGCATTGTGTTCCTGTGCAGCCTGGATTAATTGCTTTGGGGGGTGCTTTGGGGGTGACATTTCTCTGTGGACTACCAACATTTTCTCACAGACCACCAGTGGTCCCCCGCCCACTGGTTGGAGACCACTGGTCTGCAGTTTGATCCTGACTGGTTGAAGGTTGACTCGGGCTTCCATCCTTCTGAGGTTGTAAAATGAAATACCCAGATTGTTAGGAGAAATATTCTGACACAGAGAGAGGGCTATAAAGCACTATGGGCCTGTATATAAAGTCTAAGTGCTACTGATATTCTCTTATTTCTTCTTCCTAGCAAAAAATATGTGCAGATATAACCTATCAGCATTCTAAAGGGTTATCTGCAAATTATAATTGAGTGCTGACAAAATTGAAGTAAAATAGATACAGTAGTGAATTCCAAGACATTGAGAAATATGGCATGTGTTAGTTTATTTTTAAATATATCCCCCTCTGATTGTGATCATAGGAATTTTATCTTTGAGTGCAATTTCCATGTACTGCTGAATAATGCATATTCTAATTAAGTGGTACTGTAATTCGTATCAGTGGAAGTATCTTTAGTATACAGTAGCAGAACTGGTTTTGTAACATTTTCTTCCCATGTTCACTTTATGTTTGAAGACGACATTTGCAGACAGACATTTGTTATGAGGGTCAGCTGTCACTTTTCTTTAAGCTTAATTTTCAGCATGTAAGTAATTAAAAACTACAATCTTTTTTAAAAATCCATATACCTTCTCATATATGCTTTTGTCGTGTTTTTTAAAAAAGAAACCTAAAGCAGCCATCAACTTTTCCCAGATTGCAGAACTGTGTAGCATATAGTGTTCTTACAAGTTCAGTTAATAAAACACATGATCTTCAACATCCTTCAATTTTTTCTGCAATGATAACACTTTGCATTGGTATATGACACTTTAGCACATTATAACAATAGTTTCAATCAAGCAACAACTGCATCTGAAAATGGGGACCCAGAGTTAAAGGAGATCCAATGTAGAATGCACTCTAAATTACTTTTATACAATCTTAATTTAGAAGATGATAATCTAGAAGTCATACATGAAATTAGTCTTGGCTGCCTGCTTGCCTTGTATATATGTATATAGACACACACATACACATATGAATCTCAAGCTTTAAGGTGTTTTCTGATCAATGGATATTTGGGTATTTTTTCCTCCTAACTTAATGAAAGTTCACTGGATGACTTTGGTCAGTGAGTGTCCCTTAGCCCAACTTATCTGACAGGGTTGTTGTAGAGAAAAAATGGAGGAAAGAATACTATGCACAGCACCTTAAAGGTGGAATATACTGTACTGTAAATCCAACAAAACTTAAATATAAATGTATAGACACTAATATACATATTGTATCTGACTAACAGAATTCACACATTTGTTTCATTTGGTGTACAGTTTCTGTTTCCAGTAATAAACAGTATACTGAAAAATCCAGAATCCAGAAAAAACAATAAATAGTAAATTTCTGTCACATGGCAGGGTAGATATAGAAGTTACTAGTAACTGAAAAAGATCAACCATATAAGAAGTCTGTATTGATGAGATGTTAGTGTGGCAAAACCTAGAGGCTTGGATGCTGGTCAGTTGTTTGGTAATCTTCCCATCTTCTCCACAAGTAACAATGATGCCAATGGTAGACTTAAGTATGCCACTGGAATGTGCAGGACTCAGTCTGATGCTGCAGAGTGCCTTTCCTGCAAAATGCCTTTTGAATGGCAACATTAGGTCAGGAGTTGATCATCTGGAAACAATCAATAATGGGATTTATGGCCAGCAAGGCTTCATGATTGTATAGTGAAACTTCATAATTCAGGTCCCCAATGAGTGCATTTCTTAATACAATATTATATTGGCAATAAAGAAGTAAATGTCCTTTGAGCTAAGTTGAGCTTCACTCCTGGCGACTACATAGTCCATTTTGTTTTCTTCGCCAGGACATGGAAGTGGTTTGCCATTGCCTTATTCTGACATGTTTATCTCAGCTTCCCAGTCTAGTTACAGCCTTGGGATTTCCAAGGGGTCTCCAATCCAAAGTCTAATGAGGTCTGACCTGATTGATTTTGCAAGATAAGTGAAAGTTCGCTGAGTTTCACCAGACGCTATGAATTTGGCAATATACGGTTAGAATTCTGAATGAGAAATGAATGGATTACTTCACAGTTTTTGTATCTAAATCAAAATAAGTCTTAAAATAACCTTTTGCTTTGATTCCTTCTGAAATTGCTTATTTATTAATTATTCTGAAAATAGTAATTGATTGGTTTTTCTACAATTACTTCTTTTAATATCAGAAAAGGAAGATCTTTTTCTTGGTGTTGGTTATGCTAGAAATTGAGTTAAGGGCAGATATCACTAACATATTTAAGTACACTCCAAACTTTAGTTGAGGATTATGGCAGTGATGGTATGCTACTGGTTCGGACCAGTTTGGTTAAACCGGTATTAAAAAAAAGCCCTGAGAGGAGGGGAAAAGAATCCAATCAGATGAGAGGAAAAAGAAGAGAAAAGGGCAGGATCGGCCCTCCCACCCACCCCTGTGCTTTTCTCTTCTTTATCCTCTCAGCTGATTGGCACTGCAGTCTCAGCTGGTATGGGAAAAGCTGTGCACTGGCATTAGGCAAAGCACGCCCACCAAGCCATGCCCACTGAACCGATGGTAAAACAATTTGAATCCCACCACTGGATTATGGTTTAACTAGTCTTCCTACATAAGGGAATATGAGTCATGTGAAACAGTAAATATCTTATTGATATTTTTTTCAATATATTTCAACATAGATATCCTTGATCTCTAATTCAACAATATTGATAGATAAAGGGGATATTATGTAACAAAAATCATGCATTGTTCATTCTGTAATTTAAATAAAAATATTCAGAAATTTCACATATGGAAAAAGTAAATTCCTATATTTATTGATATCTCAAATAGTTAAAATTAGAACTGGGTGAACCAGATTGGATGCAGATTATTATAACATCAT